CCAAATTCTACTCCCACTATTTTGTTATTATATATACATACATACATACATACATACATATATATATATATATATATATATATATTTATATATATACACGTGTATATGTGTGTGTGTTGGTGTGTGTTTACATGTATACTAGATTTTGGAGGACTTTGTGACCATCAAGATTTTGAAGACATCTAATCTAGTCTTGCAACTGCGTGCAACATATTTCATTTTCAATTACTAATGAGTCTTCTCATCTTTTGTATCAATCTTATCCGGTATGAACTCCACTTGTAAATGTAACAGTTTGACATTTGGACCTATCAGTATATATCAACTGATTGCGAACACATACTTCCTTAAAAGCAAAAAAATACTGTTGCGAGATAATGTCATCAACATATACAACACCAGAAGCCCTATTACCAAATTGATGAAAATTTGGTAAAGAAGCCTTATCCATCAACTTTCTTATGGCCAAATTACCAAATTGATGAAAAAAGGGTGGTTTACTAAATATATATTCTGTATGAAAGAGGAGAGTACAAATGTATCCAATAATAAGGAAAAGAGATAGTCCTCAAACACAAACCTATGTTTAAAAAACCGACCGACCCGGCCGAGTCGATCTGGATTGAAACTCAGTTCAGTTAATTAAAAACCGGAAATGATAAAAATCAGAAAAAACCTGCCGACCTGGCAAAACCCGGTCCAAACCCGGACCCAGAAAACTCAATAAAATCGGAAAAACCCAATTTTGGTCTTTTTTTAAAGTTTTAAAGCATTTTAACCAGTAAAATTACAATTTTAAGATTTGTATATTATAATAAGATCAAATGATATTTTGGAATATTATGAGACCTTTTTAACTTTTAAGTGTTTAATAAATATTATTTTTAGTTAATTATTATTATGAAATAACTACATTTTATTTTAATTTCATATACAATTAAATGTTTATTATCTTTAAACTAGATTCTTTACCCGTGCGTTGCACGGGATGCATATGTTATATGTAACCATGTCATTATATGAAAGTGGAAATCTAATGAATAGTTTAACTAACTCGGATTTACATATGTTAAAATTTTGGAATGAATTTTTCAGAGCACAAAGTTGGATAAAGTTGGAATCACTTTGTAATAATAAAAATATTTTTCATTAGATGTATAAATATTTTGTTACGTATTTGTGTTTATAAAATATACTACTTCCGTCCCACTAACATTGGGACATGAGGAGGTGACACGGTTATTAAGAAAAGTGAGTTTATGTGATTGATATTGAATTGATAAAGTAAGAATGATTTAGAGCCACACAAACTTTACCAAATTTGGTATGAAACAATCTTAGTAGGACTCCCTGAAATGGAAAAATGGGACAATCTTAGCGGGACGGAGGGAGTAATAACAAAGGATTCATGCAATTGAGAAACGCTAAAAATGTTACTGATCAATCTTTTGTAAACATCCAATAAGCAAAAACATTAATTGATAGTATAACTTTAAAAGTCAAAATTTTCACATTATAATTACTAATTGCTAACTACTGATTTACACATTATTGTTTAGAGAAAATGAGTATGAAATCATTAAATATGGAAATGCAAGTTACACCTTGTTATTTTATATTATTATAGAAGACTATTGTTATTAATAATATAACTATTACTGTACTGCAAGACAATAACAATAATGTTTTTAATTAGACTAAAGTTTTATGATCGGGTCCGCTGAAGTTTGGCCTGATGACCTAAACTGATCTGGTCTGGTAAGTGTCAGATGTATGTATATTTTACTAACTTATTCTGGTCTGATCAAGTCTATGGTATTTAAATTTGATTTGATTTGATTTGGTGTAGTTTCTTTTAATATGGTGTGGTCTAACTTATAATTGAAAACATTTAAATCAAAATATTGTAAACGTTCTTATTCTTTTCTTTGCGTTAAGTGAAGTCCCGCCAATTATGAATGACTATTATTATATTATAATAAAAATATTTATTATTATCTATCATCATCTATCATATCATCATCATCATTATAGATTATTTTGAATTGACAATATTCCAATTACTCCAATATTCATGTAACTCTTATTTTTTAATGGGTATGAAACATTAAATGTCTAATTGGAAGGAAAAGCATAGTGCCACACCTTGTTACTTTATATTAACATCTATCTATCTATAATAATATATAGGAACAAGGTGAGGAATCTTTTTGGTTGCAAAGTCCCGCCCAAAAGTGGAGCTATTTATGGAGATTATGTAAACATTTATGTATTACTAAATGCAATTTGTTCTGAATCTTTATTGTTTTTATGATAATTGAAACTTTATTGTTAATAAGAGTATTCTAATTTCTAATGCTACACGTATGTTAGTACAAGTCAAATTAAAAGTTACCATACAATCGTATTAATGGAAAGAGAAAAATGTAATAATATTGTAATAATTGTTATTAATGGAAATGGTGAGAGTGTAATTATAATATGGTGATATACTCTATTAAGAGCCTGTCTGGTAGCACGAAAATCGGCTGATTTGGCTGATTTTGCTGAAATTGATGAAGTTCTGGTTGAAGTGGCTGCATTGGCAAATTCTGCTGATTAAAAAAAGAACATTTTTAAAATATATTTTATTAATAAAATAAAGAAAAAATTATATGTAAAAATAGCTAAAATGGTCATCTACAGTAACTTCAACCAATACAGCCAGAAAAATAACTCCAACCTTACTTTTTCTGCCTATTACACAATTCAGCGCGCGAAAGCAAAAGTTACGTGTTTGGTGAAAAAGTTGGCTGATAAGCCTGATGAGCTAAAAAACAGTGCTGTCAAACGGCCTCTACAATTGGTAACTACACATGATTGTGTAGGGATGTTTTTACTTGGATTGTTTTCAGTCTCATACCTGACTAGACTTCGATAGTTATAAAATACAAAGTAATTATTATAATAATTATAATAGTAATGTATAATTGGCAGGATTTTAATTAATTAAGGCATATTAGAAGACATGTGTTGCTTTAATTTGAGTGTTTTCAGTTTCATATTAAACCAAACCAGATTTAAACAAATTAGACTGGATCAAGTCAGACTTGAATAGAACATGCTTGATTGGTCAGACTAGACAAGTAAAATATATGTACACCAAATGTTTACCGGTTCAGATCAAATTAGATCATTATACCAGATTTAGACACATTAGACCAGAGCACTAAAAAATATTAGTCTAATTAAAATCACCAATATTATTCTAATTATGGCATGCAACTCCTAAGGAAATAACAATGAAATCTTATTGAAATGTATCTATCTATAATATGAAGTAATATATAATAACAAGGCGTGTCACATTGCTGTTTCCGCCCAATCACGCATTTAATGATTCATACGATTAATAATAATAATAGTAATATAATAATGGGAGTGTCTTCAATTAAGAGTAACAATAATAGTAATAATAATAATAATAGTAATAATAATAATAATAGTAATAGTAATAATAATAATAATAATAATTATCTATCATCATCATTATAGATTATTGTGAATTGAAAATATTCCAATTACCCCAATATTCATGTAACTCTTATATTTTAATGGGTAAGAAGCATTAAATGTCTAATTGGAGGGAAAAACAAGGTGTCACACATTGTTACTTTATATTATTATAGATCATTATAGATATTGTAAACGTTCTGATTTATTTCTTTGCGTTAAGTGAAGTTCTGCCAATTATGTATCACTATTATTATATTATAATACAAATAATTATTATTATCTATCATCATCATCATCATCATCATCATTATAGATTAATTTGAATGGAAAATATTCCAATTACTCCAATATATCCATGTAACTCTTATTTTTTAATGGGTATGAAGCATTAAATGTCTAATTGGAGGGAAAAACAAGGTGACACACCTTGTTACTTTATATTATTATAGATAGATATTCATGTAACTCTTATTTATTAATGGGTATGAAGCATTAAATGTCTAATTGGAGGGAAAAACAAGGTGCCACGCCTTGTTACTTTATATTATTATAGATTATAGATAGATTGCTAACCGGTTTTATAAGTTGACCGGTTAATTTGACCCCTGACCCGGTCCCTTCGTCCGGTTTCTTAAACAAAGACACAAACATCTAACAAAATCCTTGCTTCTCCTTCCCAGTTCCCACCTCTACCTCCATCTCTCACTTTCCTTTCCTTCCTTTGAAGTTTGAACCAAACAGAGCTTTAAAGCCGGGCAGCTAAGTAGCACGGAAACGGGAAACGGGAAACGTGAAACGGGAAACGCGAGAAACATGATTTCTAGAAAATATAGGATACGAAACGTGAGAGAAACGCGTAAATATTAAAAAATATAAGGATATATTTGTAAATATTTTTTCACATATGTACACAGATTTTTTCATTTATATATATGTGCACATTATATTTTCATATAACTTGCTTAATAGTCCGATAATAAAAACATTCTGCATGTTTAAGTTTAGAAATAATTATATATTACTAGTAAAATTTAGAATGTAATTCATTCGTAACAATGCATTGCGTTATGAAGTGTCACATTGTTGCTATGAAGAAATAACACAAAAAAAACACAAAATCTTTTAAAAAAAACAATATCAGGACCTCTGAAAAAGGAAAAAAATAAAATAACACACAAAAAAAACACAAAATCCAGGGTCTCCGAAACGCTAATTATTTTGGGAAACGGGTTTCCCAATTCTTCTTAATTACGGAAACGACTCGGAAACGGGAATTTGAAGTTTCCGAGTTTCCGACACGCTTCCGAGTTTCCGAAACGGGAAAACATGAGCCGGGGCCGTGCTACCTAGCCGGGCAGAGGCTCTGATCCGAGCGGTCCTGACGAAGCTAACGGCCTGTTTGGATGAGGTGTTGAAAGGTGTTAGTAATGGAAGTGTTAGTAAGTGTTTGCAGAGGCCCGGAAAGGAAAGGAAGTGTAAGTGTAAAACATAAACTTACCTTGTTTGGGAGAGTTAAAAAATGAAGTGTTAATAACGGAAGTGTTTTATGTGAAATTGACAAAAATGTCCTAGTCTGAATCCTAGAAATCTTTAAAGCAATATGATTAAAATCGAAGCAGGAAGTTTCAGCTACTATGGGTGTTTCGTTCGTCCTTGAAGGAGGTAAAGTAGTTCAGAATTTAAATACTCCGTACATGCTTTTCTTGGCAGAATGGCAGTTACGATGCTTGCAGCGAATCCCCATTTGGTTCTTCTCCTATCTTCTTATTTAGGCCTCCAATGAGTTTTGTTGCAATCCCCTCTAATGCTTGAAAACGGATGCTGCTTCTTGGCATCATCAACGAATGTGAAGTACGCTTCTTGAACCACATCAGTCACAGCTGCTTTGACAAAGCTTTGAGCAATCCAGTTGAGTCGGAGGAAGAAAATCTCAGTGGGTGAGATTGTGAAAATAGGAAGACGAGGTACGTGAACGTATACGGCAACATGAAAGGGGCAAAATCTGTCAAGCACTTCAAAACACTCCGATTTGGAGTGTTAAAAAAGTCACTTATTGAGGTGTTAGGAAGGTTTCCTCTGACACTTGCAAACACTTACTAACACTCCAATTTTTTTTAAAATTTTCTCCCAAACAAGTGTCAAGTCCAACACCCTTCAACACTTCCATTACTAAGAGCATCTCTAATGCTCCACTTTGGACTTTAAAAAAATCGTGCCACGTCACAACGTTACAAAGTACTTGCTTTTTTTCAGCTTCAATGGGCTCTTTCATGTGATGAGGTGTACAAAATAATTGCCGACATCGTGAAGCATACTTTCTGAAACTGAAAAGCCAGTTGAACTGGCTGACTCAGCAAATTAAGGCTCATCGTGGGGGAAACAGGCGGGTTTCAAGATGTGCGGGAAAAAATGGCGCAACCACTATCGAAAAATAGCGCCAATCTATCTCCATTATTCTATATATCTCCATATATATACAAGTCACCGCCTCAGCCATAACCATAATTCTTGCCGGTCCATATTCTTGAATCGGGAATTCATAGCCTCTTATTCTATTTTGAAAGGACACTCTTCCAGCTCTCCACCCCTCTCCAATTTGGTACTGTCGACCTTCACAAACGAGGTAATACTTTTTTTTTAATTTCTCAGAGAAGATGGTGAATCTATTGGTTGCAATTTATCAGTTTTCTGAATTGGGTTTTGGATAAAAGTAGTTGTTAAGATAATTGAGTCTCTCCCTCAATTACCTTCGAAATTGTAACCTTCAGGGGCGACTCAAACACTTCAGTCCGGCGGCGGCAAGCTATTTGAGAGTCTAGCAGTCCTTATTCCCTGTTAAACCTTTCGGAAAAGAAAAAATTTGATTTGTTTAGTGTCACCTCGTTTTTTTATGTATTTAGTCCAATTTAACGTATTGTGAATAATTGTAATTCTAGATGTTGTCAAAAGTGATTTCAGATGCTCTTAGAAAGATAGACATGTAATCTGATTTTTAATACTATTTCATGAGTTTCTTAGTTAGTAACCTGCTTGTTCAGCGCACACCAACATCATTGAAACAACAATCTAGCTGCTTAAGTTTTTCTTCTTCGTGCATATAAAGAAAATATTTGCATAGGAAAAAACTCAGACGCTCATAGCTCCTTATCCAATGTCGTAAATGAATTCTTGATGTCTTCCATTCATCAAGGCATGACCTATGATTGATTGTTTTTTCTCGAAACCTTAATGAAAATGCGGCCCTTATCTCAGTTTTACAGAGCTTTTAAAGTGTTTGTAAAAATGTCAAGTGAGCCAATTTATTGGCTTATTGACTTAGCTTTGCTAAACTAGCTCTGAAATTAGAGTTTTATATGAATATTTGGTTGGTTAATCTTTTATTAGTGACCCTTTTGCTACTGTAAATTTATAGATTAATTTTGCAAGTAATTCACTATCCATTAGGTATGTGTAGTTTATCGGTTGGTTCAGTACACTTGATTGGTAAGGAATTTAGAAGAGAATGCTCCTGCACACACTTGATTTTTCTATTAAGCACTAAATTATTAAAGTAATAACTATATGTGCAGGCTGAATTTTGAAGTGGAACTTGCATTTCTTACCAACTGTATGTTTGCATATATAAAACCCTGCACATAATTTGATTTTGGGGTCAAAGTCCCTTCTAATATTTATGGTGGTTGAGATTTTTGGATTAACTATCCTTCTATTGGTAATTTTAAAACATGAGAAGTTCAGTTCTTTTAACAATATAATCACATCATTTTTTTGTCTACATATGTGCTATTTATATTTATAGTATAATTTCTCTTTTTATGCACAGAAAGGATTAGGCTACATATACATGGATTCACAGGACCGTGCTAACCTTCCATTTACTAGCGAGAATCAATCTACCAATTATGGAATTCCATCCCAGAATTTGAACCAATTTAACCCAATGAACAACCCGATGATGCAGCCTATGTATCACTTTGATCCAACTATTGGAGCATATGCTGTCCACATTGATCAACATAATCGACCTACATTTCCCTTGCAACACATGTTGAATACCCCTATGGGCACTCAGAACTTTGAGACAGTAAATGCATTAAACAAGAGAGCTAAAGACATTCAAGATCCAAATCTCTCTCAAAATGCAACGTCTAAGAAAGACTGGACTACAGAAGAGGAGGTTGCTTTAACCGAAGCTTGGTTATATATATCCACGGATGCTGATGTGGGAACTAATCAAAAAAGTTCAGCTATGTGGAATCGTATATTAGAAGTCTGGAAGGAGAAAATGGGGCCCGAGCACAAGAAATCTAGGACTAATAATAGCATACAATGCCATTGGCACCAAATACGAAATGCAGTAGCCAAATTTGTTGGGAAATATGAACAACTCGAAAGACATCCAAAAAGTGGAACAAATTCGGAAGACTTGGTAAGAGTACTATATTGTCTTTAGTTTTAAAGTTGTATGGATTAACTATTCTTTTTCTTTTTTTCTGTAGTTGAGGCAGGCGTTGGAGTTATACAAGGATTTCTATGGGAGTCATTTCAAATTTCTTCACTGTTGGACAATCTTGGTCAAGGATTCAAAATGGTGCTCAACAAATCTTACGAAGACGAGGGTACAGCCTAAAGGTAAGTCTGACAAAAATTATTCACCACCGGTAGGTGACTCTGAAACTAATATCCCTGAAGATCAAGTTCCCCCTGATGGCATTAACGCCGAAGGTATTGTGCGCCCACAAGGAAGAAAAGCTTGTAAAGAAAAAAAGCGAAAGCTAAATGAAGAAAAGGGTGTTGTTGATGCATTGAATAAGCTACAATGTACTCTGGATAAACAAATTAGTTTCAATATGACAAGCTTGGAGTGGAGAAAAGAGAATGATGAGAAAGAATTTCAGCTGAAAGAGCAAGTGATGAAAAAAGAAATTGAACTAAAGGAGAATGCTCAAAAGTTGAGGAAAAAGGAAAGAGCTCAGAATTACATTATGAATCAAGATCTAAGCAAGTTATCACACCCAGTGCGAACTTCCTTTGAAAACATGCAGGCTGAGATTTCAAAAGAATGGGAGAGAGATGCCCTTTCTTAAATTTGTGTATCAAGTGATACAGTCTTTAGTTTGCTTTCACTAGATTCTCACCCGTGCGATGCACGGATGGAAATTTATCAATGTGTAATTAAGAACTCTATTATAAAAACGCAAAAATTCTTGAACTCAAAATAAAGTGGTAAATAATATAATAATTGTTACTACGTATAAGGTAAGGAGAGATGAAAACATTGTCGAAGAAAGAAAAATGTAAATTTATATAGACATACTACGTATAAATTTGAAAGTACGAAGTGGTAAATAAATTAATAAGTGTTCATAATGAAACTACAAATTCTAAAAAACTTCTTTGTAAATAACATTTAGTAGTATAATTGATAATTAATATGTTGATCATCCTCATCACAAATCAATATTTTCAACCATTTGCAATTGGTAAGTTGATGTAACACAAAGTTGACTCCAATCAATCAAGAAGGATGGTGACTGTGGACCTTACAATCAACGTTTTCTTCCGAAAAAGACAATGTCATTTATTTTAATTTTCATTTTCATTTAAACAAAAATATTTTAATTTTAATAATATATACATAATTACATATAAATTCAAATTTGATACACCTCTTAAATTCGATAAAGCCAATGCCCTAAAATAAAAGTAGGTGAATCATACTGAAAGATGTGTTACATACGCAATTAGAATGATTAAAAATTAACTAATTAACCATTATTAATAAAAAAAATTAAACATTTTAAGATTTTATTAAAATGACAATTTTAACAATCTAAGAATCAGGATCACCAAATTATGAATTATAGCTTCAATTGGACCCAATTCCAACCATTTTGACCCAACAACCACACTCAAATACTCCGTATTAATTCTAACCGTACCCAACCCAGCAACAATACGGGCAATACCAACCCAATATTAGATACGGGCAATACCTAAACCTACCGACCCAACCCCCGCAATACATAATCTCCCCCTACTCCGTACTTCTCCATTCCTGGAGACTCATCGGTTATACTCCCAGACCGATGGTCTCCAGAATATTCACACTCCGTACATAGCCTACTGCCTCATCTACTCTTCTGTTTAGTCCTTCGTTATTACGACTTTTCTGGCCGTCTGAGAAGATCGGTGGGGCGTTTAGACGGGATGTTAAGCAGCGGCTATCATCGTCCATGGATTTGCAGCTCGTCCGACCAAACCATGATGAATAGCGGCTGCGTCCCCAGTCGTTTGGTATATCCTCTTTCCAAAATTTCGTCCTCAAACATTTCTTTGATTTTCAACAGTTCATGTGTATCTTTTTTACAGATTTTCAGAGATCTCATTTGATCGGGCGTTGTGCTAATTTGTTTGACGAAATCTTACTTATTTTTCTAGCATGCATGACATTTAGTAATGGGTTTGAGTTTTTTGACTAAACGGTTTTCAAAGTTTTTACTAAGATCCGTGAATCTGTTGATTTCTGTTCAAAACGGGTTTTACTAAGAACCTGAGCATTAGATCCACCTCAGGTTCACCAGGTTTTTTAAAATTCTCTTTCAGAAATTGTTTGATTGAGCTTTGATTTTTGTTCAAATTAAAATTTTGGCTTTGCTCGTTTATTTTTCTTCTTTTGTTCTCCATATTTAATACCTTGCATTATATTCCCAATTTTCGATTTTCTTTAAACAACATCGAGCATACACTGAAAAATGTTTTCTTAAAAGCATTTTTTAAAGTGGCAGTTAAAATTAGAAAATATCTATTTTGAAAAATGAATTGAATACCTATACTTCGAGTAATGAATGGACGAATGGTATAACTTTCTTATTTAAAAATCCTACATCTTTTTTTTTGTTAAAATATAATCTTAAACATGATATTTAGAATGGCTGTTTATAGAATGGGTGTGATTTTTTCATTTAAATACCTTTATTTTAGAACATTTAACTCTATAAAAAGTAAGACTGTATTATATTTTAAAAACATTTTGTGTATCGTTTATACTCTGTATAAAATAAGATGTGCATACATTTGTTTGTGTAACAAACACATTGAAAGAATTAATTTGAATTATTACCTTCTTTGTTCCAGACAGTTCCAATACTTCATTATCTGAACTATGAAGTGCTTCTTAAACTTCATTATCTGAACTATGCAGTGCTTCTTAAATAGATTGCAGTACACATTATATGGGGTTGGGTTTATTATATATCTGGGGATGAGTTTGTAGCTCATTATAAAGTCACACACTCACACATGTTAAACATTAATGGAATGTTGAGCTCTATATCTAGGGATGAGTTTGTTGCTCTCTGGACTCTGATATGTTGTTTGTGTGCTCTTACCCGAGTATATTAGTTGTGTTGGTTTACTATCCTGATCTGCATCATACAGAGTATATTAGACTTCAATCATGAAAAAACAAACAAACCACAGTTCCCTTTTTATTGCTAATTCCAAAGAATATTACCTTTATTGGTTATTCCAAACAATATTACCCTTGTTTAAAACAATGTTACCTTTGTTTACAATCCTGTCTGGAATTTCAAACAATATTACCTTTGTTTTGATGACAACCTACAGTCTTTTTGTTGGTAATTCCTAAATTGTTTGCGCCATACTCTGAAATATAAAAACAAAATTAAGATATTCATTGTTATTCAATATGGATAGGAAAACTCTTAAAATCTAAAAAATGAACATATATGGATATTATTTCTTTTACTTTTGACTTTTTTCTACCTTGTAGTGAAAAAAGGATCTATGCACCCTGGTGTTCCTGGAGAAAAAATTGAGCATCTACCTCTAAGAAATGAGTACATTCCCGGGTCTGCTGCCATTGAAATATGTTGTGAGAGTGTATGATGCAGTGTGTGGGATGAGAATTGAACTGACTCAAGTAGCCTATTTATACGGCATTTCATGCAAAAAGTGTTGGAGTCTCCACCGGGCATTAACCCTAAAAACCAATGGACAAAAGTCCATGGATCTGTTTTTATTTAAAATCAGATCTCATTACTGCATCCATTAATGTTAATGTACTTTAAAGATATTAATATATATATTGTTTGGCTCAAGAAGATATGAAAGTACACAACATTTAATGAAGAACCACCCTGCGTATTGACCACACGAATTTGAATCTGGCCAATGTAATTTTTTTTTTAAAATTTGGAACTACCTTTGCATTGAATGTCCAAAAAGTTTTGATAAGACAACATGTTACCACATTAAATGCACAGCCTGTGCGGCCTCCCTGAGCAACAAAGATTGATTTTATGGTTGCCGATATGACCCTAATACTTCGATCCGAATTTTGACCCGAATTCACATTTCTGACCCAGTATTTTGGGCGGGAATTTGGACTGCTTTTCCACAGCAGTTTGTATATAGAAAGATTTGGTCCTACTTTTGTAAGTAAGTTGTTCTTATCTCTTGTTTAGTTAATCAAACTTGTGTTGGTGATTATTTTATGTGACTGCTTTGAATACATTTTTCAAGTTAATAATTTTTAGCTTCTATTATAAGTTGTTTATATATGAATCATAAAATCTAGCAACACGTTAGAAAATGGATGGGCTCCCTGCCGCACTAATTGTAGCCAAGATTATTTTTTACTTCACACACGCAAGGAACTTCCTTTGAGAGGTTTTGATGATGAAATGCGAGGTGTAGTTGCAAGGAATTTAGAAGGAAGAGGAATCAATTTGCATCCTTACACAACCTTGACTGAGGTACTGTAGTTCTGGTCCAATGAAAGGTTGCAAAGTATTACAATATTCTTTCCAGAAGAGAGACAGTATTGATTTATTTGAATATTTAGATTACATCAGCACGCACCATTGATTGAAGCACTTACTGAGCCATTGGCTAAGGTTTTGGGCATAAACTAGTAAACTACACAACGATAGAAATTCAAATATTCAATTTATGAATGCTTCCATCGGAATGTGCTAATACTACATATATTCATATCAGGAATTCCCTCTATGCTCAAAGTTTAGGAATACTGTATTTAAAACTTTATTAAAATGTATCATTTTACAAGTCTTAAAGAGGTATTAAAAATCTTAATTAGTGACATGGTTTTATTTTTCTTTTGTTAAGGCAATAGAAATCCCCAATATCTAATTGTTCATAGTTTTCCTATTAACTATCTATTTATTTAGTAGAAAATATCTTAGAGTATTGTTGTCTCATCACTGCATTCATACTTTACTACTGAATTGAAATGCATGATTACTTTTCATAGTGTATCATCAAGCAGCTACCCTTTGAAATAACATAAATGATAGCGAGCTAGCTCAAACTTTAAGTGTCATATCACAGAAACTTAACATACCATTATTTTACATTTATTATAGTTTATATCAATCAAAATACCTAATACAAAATTAAACTAGATGGTACTATACCATGATCACTTCAAATCTGAGCCTAAATGAACTGATCGAGGTCCCCATGTTAAAAAAAAATTAATCACCTTCGTTGGTGCCATATATTTCCCACAAATGGTTGATAAGATCATGCTTCAAGGCTATATGGGCCGATTTGCTTTGTATTCGCTTCATTCGAGTATTCATCATTGACATGAGAAAAGTAAAATCATGCTCCAAAGTCACATTTTGAGAAACTTCATCTTTGTCTGGTTGCCAATTTTCGGGGTTGATACCTTGATCAGACTCATTTTCAATAATCATATTGTGCAAAATGATGCAGGTCTTCATTATTTTTCCCAAATCGGTTGCACTCCACATGCGTGCCGGTCCTTTAACTATATGCCACTGACTTTGTAACACTCCAAATGCTCGCTCCACATCTTTACGTACCGATTCTTGGCGTTTTGCAAATAATTTTTCCTTCATAGAACATGGTTGTGAAATTGTTTGAATCAAAGTGGCATATGACGGATAGATCCCATCAGATAAGTAGTAGCCCATATTATAGTGATGACCGTTTACTATGAACTCACATGAAGGAGCAACATCATTAACAATATCATCAAATAAGGGAGATCGGTCTAGGACATTAACATCATTGTTAGTACCAGCCATGCCAAAGAATGCATGCCAAATCCATAAATTATGCCCAGCTACAATCTCTAGAATAAGAGTTGGAATTTTTTTTAAACCATTAGTGTGTGTTCCATGCCAAGCAGTCGGACAATTCTCCCAATGCCAATGCATACAATCTAAACTGCCAAGCATACCTGGAAATCCTCGTGATTCACCATCCTTTAGTAAAATGGTAATATCGGATTTATTTGGTTTCCTCAAATATTGTTCTTCAAATAATCCTATTATAGCATCACAAAATTTCTTTAAACATTCAATAGCAGTGCTCTCTCCAATTTGAACATATTCATCAAGAGAATCGGCTGAACAACCATATGCAAGCATGCGTATTGCTGCTACCACTTTTTGTAAAGAACTCAACCCAATATTTCCAACTGCGTCAGTCTTTTGGATGAAGTAATCGCCATAACTCTCAATGGCCTGCCAAATTCGTTTAAATAGATCAATACTCATTCGAAACCTTCGCCGAAATGTTTCTGGTGTATACTTTGACTGCTCACCTTTGAAATAATCACTAAAAATCATATCATGCCGCTCTTTTCTATCACGTCGGATATATACCCTACCAAATTTCGAACCGCCATGTGGGAGCTTGTTTTCCACTAACAATGTAGAAATCATCATAGGAACATGAACTGCACAAGTCTGAACCACATTGGAGTTTGTTTCCTCATAAACATCATCTCTTGTGAGTCGCTCATCAAATAATTTTTTAGTAAGAGAGAGGGATATCGTGCTGGATGTTCCACTATCAGATTCTGATTCATAATTCAGTGATGCCATATATTATGATTTTAACCTGTTAAAAAAATAATTCACACTTGATCTCATAACTTTGCATTCAAAATTATTCTCAATATATACTACACGCATGTAAATTTTTGTTCTCAATAAATTGAAATAATATTACCTTGAGCAAGCCTCTCCAGCTTCGGAAGAACAAAAAATATTGACAATTTCAGTTGTGAAAGAAAGATGAATTATACATGAATTAATGGATGGATCAAATTAGTTTTAAAATCAATGTTTTTTAAAATACTTCGTATTACGAAACTGGAAAATCCTAACTGATTTGCTACAAATATGAGATTTCCGTTATCTAGGTGGATTATTTATGACCGAAAGATTTTTTTTTTTAAAATTCAAATAACTCAACGAATTGAAGGTTGAAAGTATGCATTGCATTCGGATATGGGGTTATAGTTTTTAAGTTTGCACATCCCTCCTACGTGGGTTGACATTCCACTCATTTAATGACATGTGTCCAATTTTTTTTAATGTTGAAGGCATGGCGTTAAAGATGCTCTAACACCCTTCGACACCCAATCCAAAGCAAATAAACTGGTGTCGAGTATTCATGGCTGCCCAAGACTCCAAGTGGCAGTTTCGAATGGCGAAAAAATCGATCGAGGCCGATTACGGGGAGATGTCTGTGGTTACCAATGGACCAGCCGTGGTTTCTTTCGCTCTTCTTGATTCTCTTCTTCTCCAACGCTACTACATCCCTGAAGTTTCTGGTTCGGTCGTACCCTAACTCCGGGATACATGTTTACTGGCGTTTTTATACAGGAACTAAATAAAATAAAGAGGAGGTTGAAGGAGATGGAAGACGAGCAGGCGGCTCAGGAACTAAATAAAATAAAGAAGAGGTTGAAGGAGATGGAAGAAGAGCAGGCGGCTCTCCGCGAATTGCAGGCCAAAGTCGAGAGCGAACTTATTCACAAAAAGAAAGTCGAGAACGAAATGGGTGCCGTGCAAGGTTTATTTTTGACTTTTCCCTCTCGATTTCTAGGGTTGATAGTTTCTTCTAGTCTACTTCTTCTTCATATCATCCTCAATTTAAGCAAAAAGTTGATTTGTTAAAGGATTATGTGCTTACACGGCGTGCTCACGGAAGAAGTGGTGGTATTGCACGGTGTTTGTTTAGTTTATTAGTTCATTGACATTTGATTTTACAACCAGACCCTGAAACCGATGCTGCTGACCAGACTGATAAGGAAGAAGTGGATGCTCGTTCTATCTTTGTTGGCAATGTGAGATTTCTACTTTTGTTTATATCATATACAATGTGAGAAGTCTTCTTGCATTTTGTAATGTAAGGAATGTAAATGAGCCTCAACTGAATGCCTTTTCATCATAGAATATCATTAGTGACAAGTAGGTCAAATTAGATGATCTGTCAAGTGTTAACACACTTTTGTAGAAGTCAAACCGATTTTAACAATTTATCTCTATAGTGAAAAACTAGCTGGGAGTACCATCCTTGATGAGTAAAACTATCTAAACTGAGTGATTTGTCAGCTTATTGGCTCCACCCATTTACTGATTGGCATAGATACAACTGCCGATATAGATAAGTGAGTTCTAATGTGCTTGTACTCCAAATTTAAGTAATTCTATGCATTTTTTAGGCAAGCGTTTTAATGTTGAATTGCACTGCCCTCTTTTGTAACTTCAACCCTTGCTAAAATCATACTTCTCCCTACCCCATGGCAGTTGAATGACGCCTTACTTTGATGTGCACAAAGAGACCATTAGTTCTTCCTTGCTGATGCATCATTTCAAAGTTCTCTTGACGCAAAGAACTGCATTGCTACATTTATTCTCTAATGTTTATTTAAAGGGCAGCCCGGTGCACGAAGGCATCCCCACAAGGTGAGGGTCTGGGGAAGGGTCCCACCACCACGGTGTATAAGGAGTGAGCCTTCCCCGTCAAACTTTTTGACAAGAGGCTGCTCCCAAGACTTGAACCCGGTCACACAGCAACACCTCAACCGGTGCACCAAGGCCCCCCTTCTTCTCTAATGTTTATTTTAAATACAATAGTTCCAAAAAAGAGGATTTTGTATGTAATTTTGAATAAATACTCTCTCTACAATCTACACAGTTGAGACTCATTAGACTTTAGAATCTTCTCTTTAGCTATTTTTTTCCTTTCTTTTAACTCCTCGGGTGTTTTTCTTTCTTTTAATGTTTAACTTGCTCTTTTTGATAAATAGATCGTAGTCTCTTATATAGTCAGTAGCGACAATAGTTTTTAAAAGGTTTCCATTTTTACTCATATTAGTTTTTTGGAGTAATTGAACTAATAAATAAGTTGAACCAGCCAAGTACTTTATTATAATGTGATGATGATGCTGGTTGGTTGGTTGGGGTTCTTCTCTGGCTTGAGTCCAACACTCATGATTTGTACTTTGTTGCTTATCTAGTGCTAGTTTTCCACAGGTGGATTATGAATGCACTCCTGAGGAAATACAACAGCATTTCGTGTCATGTGGTACAGTTAATAGGGTTACTGTTAGGACTGACAAGCTTGGAAAGCCAAAGGGATATGCATTTGTTGAATTTGTTGAGCAAGAATCTGTTCACGAGGCTCTTCTTCTAAATGGATCTGAGCTTCACGGACGCCAGCTTAAGGTGTGATAAATAGGGCTCATCTTGGTACACACACTCCCTTGATCACAGACTCACGGTAGATCCTATGATATGCCGTCAAACTAACTTATGCTTCCAGTCTTTCCTTGTAACTTGTGTTTTTTTTTCGTTTTTTTTGATAGCTTGCCCCCTCCAGTTTTTCCCTTCTTTTGTTCAGCCGCCAAAAGAGAAAACAAAAGTTTTATGGAGCAAAATCAATAAGGATGATATCTTTTTGACAAAAAAGCAATGCTTACCATTGTTTTTTTGGCTTTTCGTTTTGTTTTTGTTTTCTTTCATCCTTAGTGGTTTCATTTTTCTTGCCTTCACCAGCCTTTTTTGGCAAATTGTCAACCTCCTCATCCGAATCAAATGAATACTCATCAAGAGTTCCTAAGTGGAATATATTTATAAGATTAAACATCTTTTACACCTCAGGAAAACAAAGATAAATCAACAGAAATCCCATACCTTCAACCATTGTTTCAGCATTATGAACATTAGACAGAGGCATCAATGGGATGAAGTCATACATGATGACTTCAATCTAGAATTCTGAGAAGTACGCTTTGAACATCATCGTGTGTGCTTATTCCATGGAGAGCAGAGTAGGTGAAATAAAGTTTGGTGTAAGAAGAAATAATACCAACATCTCCCAAAGTACAACCATCCACTAAGAATAAAGTCGTATTACATGTAAAGCAAAACCTAAAACTGAACTCCAAGATTAAAAAAAACAAAGTTGGCCTCATTTAAATTTGGCTAGTCTTTCTCATAGTATCCTTGTTTCAAACAAAAAACATACTTGATTAACATTTAGTAACCATGGTTCAACAATTTCTCGAGGTATATCAATTTGTCCTGGATTGGTTCATTACAGCCAATAGGTCAAATGTATGTTTTAAAAGAAAACAAATTGTGGTGGTTAGTAAAGCATGATTAGTTAAACCTGTTTTCTTAGTTCTTTTAAACTTTAGTAGAATGTCTTTTTTCTCATTAATTACTTTTTTTTATGCGTAGCAGAAAACATTGACAGGATCTTATGTATTCTAAGGTTCACTTTCAGAATGCTTTGGTCATAACCTTATTTTCTAGGTTTCAAATCCCATGTTTTTTAGAAGTTGATATAATTTTCTTCAAACAGAGTTTTCCCAATATCTATATTACTAAATCTTAATTTTCGTAGTCTATGGACCTCTTATGTGTTGTAAGTTTTAAGTTTTTAACTGAAATCTAATAACATCTCAACAGTCAACAAAACACAGAATAATTAGATACCCGTAGACCGTAGTACCATACATTAACAATCTAACTTCCAAATCCAGAGTAGACTACATGCTAAAGCGATTTTATAAAAAAAATAGTAGTTATATGTCATGGACTTGTTCCCTTAACAATATCAAGTGCGACCTTAGCTCCTTTCTTCCATTGCTGTAAGGAATACCTGTTCTCTTAACATATAGCTTACAGCCGTTTTAAGAATTGATACTTGAAATGGATGTGTTTGTATTTTTTACTCAAGATTGATTGCATTCAAAAATCATAAATTATAACGATACACAATGAAAATATCTGAGAATAATCTTATTCTGAACGCTAAGTCATCAAAAAACGCTTACAAATGAATCCAAACCACTGAAACCTAAAAAGAGAAGCACAAAGTGAATACTAATAATAGTATTTGAAACCATACTAAAATGTTGTGTATCATCATAAATAATAATAATAATAATATTTGAAAAGGCCAGCCAGGAACAACTGAATACTGCCCTTAACATGCCAAACAATATTTTGAAAATTACGATGCAGTAATTTCAATTCATGCCTTCCCAGAATAGAAGAGGCACTGTGTTTATAAGTTAAATGATTTCCTTGGTTGTTTTGCTGAGAGCAGTAGAGCACCAACGACACTCCCAAAATTCCCAAGGTAAGCAACCACTAATGTCAATTTCCATATCAATGCCACCACACAACATGACACATTTGTCAATATTTCTCTCTCGAATGCCCTTCTCACAAATATGGAAAAGCAAAGCTAGAGCATCAAGGTGGAAGAAAGTATTACCTGTTTCTTATATTGTCTTAATGTTGACACATCCTACTCCGGGGGTAAAGCACTAAAGCAGGGGTTGAGCGACCTTGGGGACACCCAGAGAAATTTCATAGGCCCAGCTTACTACCCGCTCAAGGCAGACTCTATCGTCCAGACGCAAATCGGGAATCTACAATCCAAACCATCCGGCAGTGTACTCATTTGGGTAACCAGAAATTCTAAGTGGAATGAACCCTGAAGTGCTCTACAAAGCTGGTAACACATCCTCGACCAGCTCGGGACCACTTTGAAATTCAATAGCTCTCCATTGCGAGTGGAAGATCCAGTTCCATCTTAAGCTCACCCATGTCTTTCGATAAATTAATCAGGCGGCACATCTTCTCAGTCGGGAGGTCCGCTTGGCTAGATCTGAGGCCCGGAGATACTCCTACTGGTACAGAAAGTTATTTTAATGGAGATACAAAGGAGACTGTTCGAGGTTAAATTTTACGAAGTATGCTTTAACGGAGATAGATAATCGTTATAGATATCAAAACAATGAGCACAATCATTCAAACATAGAGTACAACTAGGGCTGGCATTTTAAACCGAAAAAACGAAATCCGAACCGAAAAAAACCGAACCGCTCGGGAAAAAATATGAACCGATAAAAAACGGGACCCGAAAATTGGGACCCAATAAAAAACGGTTTAAACTCGGTTTATAGACCTAAAAAATCGGTTTAAACCGAACCAAACCGACAATTTTATATAAATAATAATTATTATTATTAGTAATAATAGTTAATGAGAATTATCAAAGGTATATTGTAATCTCGAATTTGATATTGACAAACTAAGCTGGCTAGTCAGTTGGTCGTGAAGGTTATTGTGCTCCCAAGAGGTCAAGGGATTGATCCCCAGTTAAAGTTTGCATTTTTTACTTTAAGTTTTTCTTCCCAGTGTCACTTTTTGTCCCACACCAAAAAAGAGATGGATTACTCTTCCAGAAATATTTATATAAAGCACATCTTCAAGCTGGTTTCAAACAAAACGGGTTAAGCTCCCGACTGATGGGCTTGGTTGATTTAATAAATAATGATCATCAATTCGTTTTGGGCTCTGTATTGTTTTTATCAGTCCAATATTTATTTATTTATTTATTTATTTATTTATTTATTTATTTTTTCAACCATAATTTGGTTTTCTATTGGTTTCCGATAAACCGACCCGAAACATCGGGTCCCAACTATTTGGTACCCGGTCCTTGGTTGGTTCGGTTCCGGTTTTGATTATTAGGAAGACCAAAATGTCGATTCGGTTCTTGGTTTGGTTCGGGATCCGAACCGAAACCAGCCCGAAGTACAACTACATTATGCTCAAGTGTTACACCAATAAAATTTCTATTCCCAAAAGGGTATAACCCTCATTCACCATTATAAGATCTTAAGATGAAAGGTCTGTGTTTGTTAACACTATTTGATGGTATTTTTTTTTAAAATATGAATCCCCCACATGTTCCTCCACATGCACATGTTTATTGTTTCCATTACTATCCTTAATGTATGGCAGGTAAAAGGCAAACGAACTAATATTCCGGGCATGAACCAGCTGTGTGTAGCTCCTTGTTTGTGCTTCCAGGGCCATGCACCATGTGAAGCAGTTCTGGGCAAGAAGCAGCGGCGTGCATATCCTTGTTTGTGCTTTCAAGGCCATGCACCATGTGTAGCAGTTCCGGGCAAGAAGAAGCGGCGTGCAAATCCTTGTTTGTGCTTTGGGGGCCACACACCATGTGTAGCAGCTCCATTTTACTTTCATCCATATGGTTACGGGTAATGAATCCATTCATGACTCATGAGTTTAGATGGGCCTTTTCTTTAGTTTTGTGTCAGAAATAGTAAAAAAAATTGGCTGTATTACTTTTGTGTTGCAGAAAGGTACCCAGGTCCAAAACTCTCATGCGATACAACCCCTACTTGTGAATCTTGTGATTTTGGGAGATGATGAAAAAAGGAGCATGCCATTGAAAGCTGTCTAGTGCTTGTTCATTTCCAATTTATAATTGAGCTTTGGACAGTCTTGTGTAATTAGGTGGGCAGTGTAACTTTGATGATATTTGTTAAACACCTCGCTTGAGTTCCATCTTCACATGTTACAATGTCAGTCTTCCTTTGGTATATTCACATGCTACAATGTTATAAGCGGTGGACTGGTAGGCAGGGCAACTTAGATGTTTTTACTTGGACTTTAATTTGCTGGTCTGGTCTGATCTGGTCAGGTCTGGTCTGGTAAGGTCTGGTTTCTTTGTATTTTTATAACTATCCAAGTCTGGTCTGAACTGATCTGGTCTGGTCTGGGGCAAATTACAGTCCAAGTAAAAACATCCTTAGGTCATCACTAATAGCAATTCTAGTGATCATGGTCGTTCAAGTGTTGTGCTGGTATACTTGTAGTATTTCAGTTGCATTTTCGTTCATTAATTTTACGAAGTATATCATTAATACATAATATGTAAGAAAATTCTCATATGATATTTGTAGGAAAAAAAAGAATTAGAGAAGAGATGGAGAACTACTTTGAATAAAATTAAAATTAAGGGCATATGCAAAGAACTCAAGTGATATCGGCAACTAGTGTTGGACTCAGTGTGGGCCACTTGACCTGGGAACCGGTCCGGCCCGGCATTGTTTGGGGTGTGTGGTGGAGGGAGGCTGGGGGATCTGGAGTAATGGATTTTGTAACTCACTCCATTGAGCTTCGAACCCGAGACTTCCCGTAAGGGAGAGTGAGTCCGCGACTAGCTAGGCTGGATTACTTCCTCAACACAACGTTTATTTGCACACCTTTTACTTTTCTTATTGCACACCTAACACGGATGTAATAATGTGTCATGAGATAGATGTGATATACTATCGTAAAAACAAATGTGGATATAGATACGCACATTATGAAATGCCGAAAGGGGTAAAATCACCTCTAGAGGTGTTACTAAAGGGCATCTAGGCCCTCAAACTTAATTTTGGAGCAAAAATCTTCCTATTTCCTTTAAAAGAGGGCATTTATCCCTTTCTCTAATGGCAACTTTCTAACGATGACTATACTGAGAGTTTAAGAGCGTGTCTTGAGCACTTGTGAATTTGTGATAAATGCAAATACACCCCAGGTTTTTTTAAGGAAAAAAATGTGAGTAAATGTCTTAAATAATTAAACAGCCATGTCACACCCATGTATATTTTTGTGAGCAAATGTCTTAAATAATTAAACATGTGACAAATTAACTAATTAAATGTGGAATCATAGAGTTAAGATATTTTTAATCAAATTGATTATTTTTATCTGGTGTAATTTGGTTTAAACGATTTTTGTCTAATATGATATATTTTAGAAGTTTTTACTTAGACTTATTTCAGACCTAGACAAGATTTGACCTGACCAAACCTAAAAAGTTATAAATTACTCATAAACCATACATTTACCAAACAAAACAAGACAAAACTAGGCCACTTTAGATCAGACCAAATCAGAGTAGACCAAATCATAAAAGTTCAATCGAAATAATAAAAAAAATCCTTAATTTGGTCTGCTATGAAATGTCATTATATATTATTTATATATTATAATTTGTATATAGTTTATTTCTATTAAAATTTAGAAAATTCCTCCCAAATCATCGTACAATATATCTTCTCGACTTATCATACATTTATAATGTGTATATTGTAAACATTATAAGTATACAAAAACTATTATATCTTTTAGGAAAAATTGATTATAATAATTCCAACTATTGGCGGTCCGCTTATAATAATCCCAACTATCAATTATTTAAGAATAACCCCAACTTTAGGGACCTTCCGCCAATAATGGTCCGGCGTGACCGGCTATAAATAAATTTCTATAGTTTCTAAAGTGGTATAACAGGTAATACCTATAAATAATCTCAACTTTTAATTTTTACTATTAATTTCTATTTAAAATTCACATGTTATAACAGGTAATAACCGGTCATGGACCATTATTGGTGGATGGTCCATATAGTTGGGATTATACAAAAATAATCAATAGTTGGGATTATTGTTAGCTGACCAGAAATAGTTGAAATTATTATTTTCAATTTTTCCTATCTTTTATATCATACAACAATGTTTTTCCCTCTTTACTTATAGAAGATATACGGTACAAATCAAGAAAATATACTATAGTGTACAATAATTCTGAAGGAAATTTATTATTTTTCATAGTAAATTATTAAAATTAATTATAAATAGATTATAAATAGAAGATAATATGAAGATAATATGAATGTATACATATTCAGAAATCTCATTAAAAGTTTTATAAAGTTAATATATTACTTTAATTTTAATAAAATTGAATATATAAAGTAAAAGATTATAAAACACTTTACATTGACCAGAGAACAGGACAATGCTCTCTGGTCAATGTAAATTGCTTTATAATCATTTACTTTTTATATCCAAGTTTTATTAAAATTAAGTTTTCATATATTAACTTTATAAAAATTTTAATGCAGTTTCTGAATTAAATATATTTATATTATATTTTCTTTAAAAATGTATGATAAGTCCAGAAGATATATTGTACCATAATTTGGGAGGAATGTTATTATTTTTAATAATAAATGAATAAAAATAAATTATAAACGGATTATAATATAAATAATTACTCCGTATATATAATGAAATTTCATAGCAGACGGATTAAAGAATATTTTTCGATTGGAATTTTATGGTCTGGTCAAATCTGATTTGGCTTGATCTGCTCTTGTCTTGTTCAGTAGATGTATGTTTTCTGAGTATTTTATAATTTTTGAGGTCTAATCTGTTTATGTCTAATCAGGTTTGGCTAGGTATGATCTTCTCTAGGACTTAAATAAATTGAATAAAACTTCTAAAACAGACAATATCAAATCAAACCAAAATTGATCAGGCCAACTTACATCAGATAAAAAAATCAATCCGATTAAAAACATCTTTAACTCTATAATTCGACATTTAGTTAGTTAATTTGCCACATGTGATTAAGACATTTGCTCACCCAAAAAAATATAGGTTTGGGTGTGATTAGCTAGAGACAATCCTGGGATGTATTTGCATTTATCACAATTTCTCAAGACATGTTACCTTTTCTGTATGGCCACTGTTAGAGAAGCGGGAAAATGCCCTCTTTTAGGGAGTTTTTTGCTCCAAAATTAAATTTGAGGGCTTAGATGCCCTTTAGTGACAACTCTGAGGGTCTGTTTGGTTTGGGGTAATCTCAAATGAAGGCCGGAATGTGATGCACGGAATGTTAGATATCCTTGTTTAGTTCACGGTTTTGAAAACAAATCAGGAAAGTTACATTCTCGGGAATGTAATATGGAGGGGAATGTTTAACCTTTAACCAATCATGCCTTAGGTTATCTCGCATTACCGAGATGATCTAGGTTTCTTTCGAAAATACCCTCATTTGACTATCTTTTTTCATTTAATTTCTTTATATATTCAACTGTGATCGAATTTGATTTTTTGTGACTTTATAAAACTTTTAATGCAGTCTCTAAATATGTGAATTTTATTTATTAAAAATAATCTTATTATTGACACGGACCGATTAAATTTATGATCAGTCGAACATCGTAAATTGTGTAACAACCTTTTAAGTGGGACGGATGAAGTATTTAATAATATTCGAATGTCTACTCTTGTTATTTTTTATGAGTGGATTTCAAAATTTAATGGCAAAATTGGTTATTTTTTCTTTATTTTGAAAACAAGTTTTACGAATAACTTGAACATTATTTAATTATTTTTGAAATGATAATAAATATATTTATATTACTCCCTCCGTCCCTAAGTAAACTTCCATTTCGCTTTTTGAGAGTCAACTTAAATCACACTTAAACTCTTACTTTATATATCAAAAATTTATAAAAATTGAATTATTTTTTGCAGGCTTTGTAGCGGGTTTAATGTAGTTTCTGAATATGTAAATTTTATTTACTAAAAATAATCCGAGTTTTCACAGGGATCATTTAACTTTATCGCTGGTCAAACTTCGTAACTCGTAATTGGAAGTTTTATTAGGGACGGAGGTAGTACTATTTGACCAAAGTATTTTTTCACTTCTGCATTGGATCTACAACTTTTGTACAATTAAACATACTTTACTTAAAAATAATTCAATTAGGTTTGATTTTAATTATTATTATTAAGATATTTCATTTATCTGTAATTATAATCACTTTAGATGTAGGTTGTAATAGATTTATTGCGTTAAGAAAAAATATTTAAAGAGCATTGAAGTAATTCATCATATCTGCAATATAAGGTATCTTTCAACCAAATAAATAATGACACATTCCCTTAATTATAACCAAACACACATGGGAATACATTCACTCTATGTTCTAAAAATCGTTCTAGGCGTCGACTAATCCCCGCCTAGGTGCTAGGCGGTGGTCGGACGTCCCGATTTTCGTCTAGGCGCTCCGACTAATTGATTTGCCGTCTAGAAGAAATAGTTGTGCGCCTATAACGCATAGTTGCCCGCCTAGAGCGCCTAATCGGCCGCCTAGATTCGCCGAACATTACTTTACTTTTTAATTTTAATTTTCTAAGCGATATACATCCCTTAACTTTAGTCATGGATATAAAGAAATGAAATTGTAAATTAAGGTAAAACTATGCATGTTTGTTTATATACCTAAAATTTATCATTATTTGTATTTATAATATAATAAAGTTCAGTGTTTAGTTATCATATACTACATATGATTAAATATGATAATTCTATCATTCATGTTTGTTAAGGTATATGTATATATGTATTTTAACTCATCATATTTATGCAAAAATATAGATAAAAATGCAATTTATATGTCTCCGTCTAGCCCCGACTAGGCGCCCGCCTAGCCGCCTAGGCGCTAGGCGCTGGGCTGGCGCCCGACTAGCGCCCTGCGCCTTTTAGACCATTTGAATACATTCTCATCAATCTAACATACCCAACAATCTAACATTCTCATGGTAATCCGACATTCCTTGAACCAAACAACCCCTAAGGGGATCTAGAGTTTTCTCACATCTTCGAAACTTTTAAAGTCGTCAAATCTCAAATCTAATGCATGAAAACTTTCTCATTTCTCACATTAAGTTTTCTTTGTATTTGATCATGGTCCGTCTATATATATCGAATCAAATAAAAAGAGTATTTCCCATAAATAATGTGAAATAATTTTGTACACTTGATAATTAGGATGTTTTTACTTGGACCGTAATCTACCCCAGACCAGATCAGACCAGATCAGACCAGATCATACTAGACCAGACCAGACCAGATCAGACTTGAATAGTTCTCTAACATATTATAAGCATGAATACAAGTAAGGTTATTTTGGGTATAAAAAATGTGTTGGTAGTCATCGTATATTTTAAGGGGTTGTACATTAAGCTCCGCCCCTTGTATATGCTTCTATTAGCCGTCTATCTCCGTCTTCAAACGTGCAGTACGGTTAAAGATGACATCCGCCAGAACAGTTACTTGCCAGACGCCAGATCTGCTTCTTCAGTTCTTTGTACCCTACCAATCCCTCATAGCAGAATTCACCAAATCAGAATGCACCTTAGTTGAACTAGAGCAAATCCAAGATCTAGAACCATAGCAGGAAACACTAGGATCAAGTTTCAGGGCAATAGGTAGAAGAGTTGCTAGAAGACGAAGTGGAAGAGGAAGTTGAAGCTGCGGATCTTGATATACTCAGAAATCCAACAGTGAGGAGGGAGAGGTTAGATTGACCGATGAAGTCCATGACGATGACGACGAGCCACTCAGGAAGGTTCTGGAATCGTTCTCGAAAGAGAACTCAAGGCTCTTAGTCAGGAGGCGGTACCCCAACACCCTGATGTCATGGTAAACGTTGACACATGGGCGGACAAAGATCTGCTCACCGGAAAATCTTCTTGCACGGTCTCGGCTGGGACATCATGACTACTGAAACCCTGATTACTGTGCTTGGGAAATACGGCGAAATTGAGAATTGCAAAGCCGTCACTGATAAGGTCTCAGGGAAGTCTAAAGGTGGGATTGATCTGGAAATTGACATTACTGGTTGCTAACTTTGGGATTTCAGGGGTGTCCCAAGTGCCCTTAACAAACCAACCAATAAAGTCTTTGTTGATCATTTCATCTATGCACACAATACCTCTTCTATTTTGGTAAGAAATGCATTGAAATCTTTGCATCCTGGTTTTCAAAAAAAAAAATTGGCATGTTAAGAGTAGTATTCTGTTGTTCCTGATGGGGTGACCGGCCTTTTTATTGTATTACGATGATGAACACTTATTTGTTACTCTTTATGTTTCCATTATACAGTTTGTATGTTTTGTTGTCTGAAGTTCTTAAATTGTATTCTCGCAAACCATTGGTTGCGGCAGAAGGATTGGTGTTCCCACAAAACATCGCTTCTTCTATTCTGGTTAGGGACGAATTGAGACTCTCAAACCATGTTTTTATTTTTATAGGTTTCATCATCTCACCCCTTGACACTAACAAATAAGGTATTTTGCTTTCTCTTTTCTCCTTATCTTTCATGGATCAAAGATTATTGCTCACAAATTACACTATCTTTTGAAAGCTAATGTTGCACGTTTATTAAAGCTTCCAATAGCTTTCAATTTTTAAAGCCTTCAATGGCTAATATTGAAATAGTGTAATTTGACAATGTCTAATTTATTTGAGTAGCAAAATTTAAATTTACTTTCCTCCAATGACTATTATATACGTAGGAGATCCTTTATCACTATGACTGGGATATATTTTCATTTTGAATAAATTACTAGGGTGGAAGTTTAAGAAGTTAAGTAAAGACTTCTGAGTTGGAACCACATCATTGGTTTTTGCCTTCTGATGAGGCAGCCTAATAGGGATTGGGATCCTTTGCCCGACTATAAGGGTACCTTGCGCATCGGACGGTCGGGCAGTGGCGAGGACGGCCTTGAGATCAGCAAAAGTGGGGACCCCAAGATCTATGACCGTTGAATATGTGATCGGACGGCTGTCCAGAAGCAAGACACTCTACCTTGCTCTAAAGCAAGGCAGAGGCTCCGGATCCGCCTAATAGATGGAAGTATAAGAAGTTCTGATGATTTCTTGTACTAATTTATGGATTATTGATGACACATTCTTTATCTTGGCCGGGCAATCCAGATATGGGCCAAATGGCCATCATGGAATGTAAGTTTATATACTGACATTGATGTTAAGGAACCTCCCATTTCTTTATGTACTCACTTTGACAGTCCAATATGCTTATTCTTTCCTTTTAAGTCACACATGCTAGCTGTTATAACTGATAATTTGTCAATGTGTTATGATTGGGAAACAACCTTATATACGGCTTTTGACTTAGACTACTTCCATAGATTCTTAATCTCTTAAAAGCTAAATATTAGGAAAAAGTGCAACTCATATATAAATGCAGATAATAGACAGTGCAGAGTACATCATAAAGAATAATTATCTTAAGGCTTTTATATAAAAGACAAGCTAAGGCTTCCTGGTTCAGAATGTGTCTTTTATGATTTTTTTGTGTAATTTGTTTTATATATGTGTTGCTTTATAAAACCAAGATGACATTTAATAAAACTTATCGGCATTATTAGTCTTCAAAACTTATTGTAAAAAACTTGAATTTTTTTCTTTAATAACCTGCATTTTTTAATAGCCTGCATTTTCATTGAGCATTGATGCTCAAGGTATCTATTAGTCTATCACCTTTCTTGTTCTAATTATTTGAGACCCTATATGGAGATATCAATTTTGTAAAGATTAGAAAGAGAAACAAGAAAATCTTTTGCTATTACAGTCTTCAAAACTTATTGTTTTGCCCAAAAAAACTTGGAAATCTTTTTCTTTAATAACCTGCATTTTTTTTAAGGGAAAACTGTCAAATAGGTCCTCGAACTTTCATAAAAAAGTCAATTAAGTCCTTCTATAGGAGGTTCTGTCCGGCCGTCGCGATTTGGGGCAGTTCCCGGTGGAATTTTTTGATGAAATTTTTTTAGAATCTTATTCACCAAGTCTAGTTTATTCATACCAAATTTCAGCTAAAAATTCAATCGGGAACACATTCAAATTAATTCTTGAAGATAACTGCGCATTTTTGCGTTTTCGAATTAATTTGAATGCGCTCCCGATTAAATTTTTAGCTGAAATGTGGTATGAGTAAACTAGACTTGATGAATAAGATGCTCAAAAAATTTCATCAAAAAATTCCACCGGGAACCGCCCCAAATCGCGAATACCGGACAGAGTCTCCTATAGAAGGACTTAATTGATTTTTTTATGAAAGTTCGAGGACCTATTTGACAGTTTTCCCTTTTTTTAATAACCTGAATTCTCATCGAGCATTAGTGCTCATCTATGGGTCTATCACCTTTCTTGTACTAATTATTTGAGACCCTCTATGGAGCTATCAATTTTGTAAAGATTATAAAAAGAAACTTGGAAATCTTTTGCTATTGCAGCCTTCAAAACTTATAGTAAAAAACTTGGAAATCTTTTTCTTTAATAACCTGCATTTTTTTAATAACCCAAATTTCCATTGAGCGTCAATGCTCAACGTATCTATCGGTCTATTACCTTTCTTGTACTAATTACTTGAGACCCTCTATTGAGCTATCAATTTTGTAAACATTATAAAAAGAAAATGTTGTCATCTGCCTTTACATCATTAATTATTGGTTACCAGGATTTTTGACGCTTGATTCCTTCAAAACTGTGCTTTTCCATACAAGTAGTGCATGGTCATATGCTTTGACGTTCTTTGCTCTAGAATAAAAGTATGGCACCCAAAATAAACAAAAATTTTAAGGTTTATAAAGTGTGGGCCTTTAATGTTAGTAACTCTTAAATTTTATGTTACCCAAAAACCATTGGGCATCATCCCAATCGCGCAACGCGCGTGACATCACTAGTATAAAAATACGAAGAAACCATACAAGCAAATTACAGTCCAAAACATCCTTAATAGCTTAGAAAAAGTAAACGGTGCACTTAGTTTCATAAAAAACATCAATTTGGATTCCATTCAGCAACTTGAAAATAACTTAAATTTGTTGTAATTGATAAAGTTCTGGTTGAAACGACTGAATTTGTTGAATCTCATGACTTATACAAAATTATATGTAAAATATATTTTATTAACAAAACAAAGAAAATATATATGTGAATAATTAAAACAGTCTTCTACAATAACTTCAGCTAATTCAATTAAAAAAATATAACCTTCACATTTCTTGTTTTGATTATATATAATTCAACACACGAAAACAAAATAATTTGGTAAAAAAGTTACTACATCCATCTCTAATGAAAGATATATGTAAGTTTGATGCGAGTTATAAAAAAGAAGATTAAAATGGTTATCTTACAACTCTAACTCCAAAAAGTTTCAAAGAGTAGGATGAGTCTACAAAAGCTAAATGATACGTAGTAAAATAAAACGAGATAAAACGAGAAAGTAAAAAGTAGTGGAATTATTTAGAAAAAGTGTTCATATTTTTAGAGTAAACCAAAATAAAAAATGTATTCTACAAAATAGACAGGAGTAGTAGATTTGTGAAAGTGCTCATATTATTATCTATGTCCCATTAAAATTATCTTATTTTACCTTTTGGAGAAATCCTACTAATGTTATCTCATACCAAATTTGGTGAAGTTAACAAAATGACCCTAAATCATTCTTGTTCTTACGAATCAATTCAATATCAATTTGGTAAAGATTGTTTTTAGCACAAATAACTTAAATGTTAATAAAACTGAGGACCAGATACAAATTCACCATAACAAAGGCCACACTGGGGGTGAGACTCAGAGCTGGATTCACGCTTACTAGGGACCATCTTGCTAACCCCGCAACTTGGTAGATACCATACATGACAATGCTACACCTGCTACTAGAAGGAGAATGAAAAAACGAAACAGAGTTCAGAATTTATGGATAAACAGAAAAGTAACATAATCCAGTTTGACCAGTCATTGTCAAGGGAGTAGGGGGTTTGACCAACCTCCACTAAAGGAACATCCTTCTTATCCTCGCACTGTCCTGTTACTGGTGGTGCTATCCGGGCAACACCGCCACTTCCAAGTTTTTTGAAGATTCTTCATCTGCGTCCATGCTCGGCTGTGTCCCCACCTCGTTATCCTTCTCAGTGATCCTACACTTTCTGGGCGCATCCCCGATTGAAGTGATCTCCTTACCCTTTGACAAGAGCCCCTCCATCAAATATCTCTCCTGTTCTCTTGTCTCTTTGTTAGACTCTACTTTTTCTTCCTGTCTGTCACCCTGTTTGTTATTGCTAGGAATAAGCCACCTGTTTCCCGTGTGCACTCCTCACCGCCTCATATCGGCTCGAAGCCATGACCCATAAGGTTTTTCCACGATCCCTAAAACCGCTATGCGGGTTAGAGGGACAAAATCGGTCAGCATAACCAAGGATCCCACACAGAAATCAAAAGTTCGGGAGCCTCTCATATCGAAAGTTTGCCAAAGTCCAGTGTTCCCCCTCCTGTCTAACCTGTAAACGTCGGGTTAAAGCCATGGTAATGTTCAAAGTGACCCTTATGCGCATAACCGGCCTTTGCTTTCCACCAGGAGAGCTCTCATCCATTTGCACAAATGATCGATGTTATTGGTTATGCCATGTGCTACCTTTGCCATCATGTAACTTAACGATAGATCATGTACCTGAACCCAAAAGTCTGCATGGTCCAGTGTAACCTCCACATGCTTATCAGTATGCCCCAACCATTTGATAACCACAAGATTCTGCTCAAAGGACCAAGACCCTTCATCAACAACTCTGTTCAGGTCTCCTTCATGATAAAATTGTAACAAGAATTTTGAATCCTCGATTTCATCAATAGAGACCCCTTTCACTTGTCGCCCAACCAGGCAACCATAGCCATAGTTTGACATCAAGAAACAACACGAGTGGGTTTATCAGATACCACTCTGGCCACCGCCGCTAGATTGAACCCCTCTGTAATCTCACCCTCGTACTTTATCGGGTCAGCCGCAATCATAAGCCCCCTGTTTTCTTCCTCAGCAAGTGATAACATATTAACATTCTTCTAGATCATATCCACTGCAACACAAATCAAGAGTCACCGACGCAAAGCAAATGAGGAAACACCAAAGTAATGAAGCAAACTCAAAAATGAAATCACTCTAATCGCAACAACAGGGAGTTCCAAAAACCTATTGATCATAACAAAAGCACAACAAAACGATCTCGGCCAAATCGAACCGGACAAACACACGGAACCAACGCCCGAAGAAGAAAGTAAACCTTTGGACCGAAACATCAAAATCAAACTCACAGAAACTGACCGTAGAAGAGATTACCACCAATTATCCCTCGTGATGCCATCTCGTTCACCGATCATCGATTGTCCCTTGCGCCTCCATAGCCATCGCGAAGCTAGGGTTAAGAACTTTTAATGAATGAAAAAATCTTAAAAGAAAGAAAAAATGGAAAACAAGATTTTTTTAATATAAACCCAAAACATCTTCCTCTCTTCCAAGAGACCATGACCATCATTTGGGGAAATGAAAACTAATAATCCAACCTTATAGCAGTTTTCTTATAATAATCCAACCTTTTGGTTATTCATGAATAATCCAACCTTTGCATCTCATCTTCATTCACTGGTCCCTGACTGGTTGATGACCTGCTATTCCAAGCTATTTTCTTATCTTTGCAAATCATTATACCATAAATCTCATCTTTCACAAAGCTAATATTTTGCAAAGATAAGAAAATAACTTGGAATAGTAGGTCATTAACCGACCAGGACCAATGAATGAAGATGAGGTGCAAAGGTTGGATTATTCATGAATAATAAAAAGGTGTGATTATTGAAAGAAGACCGCTAAAAGGTTGGATTATTAGTTTCCATTTTCCAAAATTTCCCATAGAGTCAGGCCTTAAATGAGAAGTAGCCGAAGGAAAAGCTTCACCTTCATCTCTCCATACCTCGTTCTGTCACTACAATAATATCAGACGCTTTCAGAGTCCAGACTGAACACAAACTAGCCATGGATTTCGCAGCCATATCCGCCGGCAGCCGCGGCTCTACCACCTTCAACCTCTATCACGCCTTCAGACCGCCTTCTGTTATACCTCTACCCGTCACCCTCGACGCAAACCCAACTTTCAGACCCCGAACCAAACCCGTCGCCGCAATCTTCTCATCCCCATCAACAAAACCCGCTTCCCCTGACCCCGAAGCAAAATGGGACCTTAACAGCTGGAAGTCCAGACCCGCGTCTCAGTTGCCGGAGTACCCGGACAAAGAGAAGCTCGAATCGACCTTAAAGGTTCTGGAATCCTATCCTCCGATCGTTTTCGCCGGTGAGGCTCGGAGTCTCGAGGAGAAATTGGGACAGGCGGCTGTGGGGAATGCGTTCCTTTTGCAAGGTGGGGATTGCGCTGAGAGTTTTAAAGAGTTTAGTGCTAACAATATTAGGGACACTTTCAGAGTGATATTGCAAATGAGCGTTGTGCTTATGTTTGGTGGTCAAGTTCCTGTTGTCAAGGTGATTCCACCATTTTTTTTGTTCACATTTTCTTCGTAAATTGGACAAATTTCTGCCTTGTTGATTGCTATTTGTTGATGTTTTGTGATGATCGCGACTTCCTGTTGTTGACTTTTTGAATAAATTTGGTCCCCTTCTCGAAAGTAAAAAGTTTAGGCCTTTGGGGTTCATGTTTCAGAACACTTGGTTTCCTTTAGGGTCAGTTTTGGAATTAGGAAAATGTTAAAAGAAATTAAATAAGACGAAAGTAGAGATGGACTTTGGCAGGAAAAATTAGGCAAATGAAACATGTGCTCAAACTCAATAACATTTTTAAATGTTTGTTTAACTCATTTTTAGTAATCTATTTTTTCTAAATTAAGACTAAGAAAGCTATATAATAACTTTTCAAATTAAGACATTTGAAAAAAGCAGTATTCATGTTTCAATTTCATATGCATTATAAACCAAATAATAACTTTTCCATTTTTGATTTATATAGCCATTTATGGAATCCAAACACACCCTTCAGGACTTCATGTGGAAGGGAAGTTGGAAAAACTGAAAAAGGAACCAGATTTTTGGTCCACTGTGAAGCCTGAATCTCAGATTATTTTTCCTTAAAAGTGAAACTTAAGTACAGTAGTGATAGAGTAAGCATTTGAATAGTTATTCTTCCTAACACATTTAACCTTTTTTCCCCGCAGGTCAATCTAAGTATCAGGATTCTGCAATTTCAGTTTTTTCCTAGAGATTTTTTTTTGCTTACATACTGTATCAAATCATATCTCATTCTTGTTATTGTGAGTTTAGGTGGGCAGGATGGCCGGTCAGTTTGCAAAGCCAAGGTCTGAACCCTTTGAAGAAAAGGACGGTGTGAAGTTGCCAAGTTACAGGGGAGACAATGTGAATGGAGATGCTTTCGACGAGAAATCAAGAGCTCCTGACCCAGAAAGGATGATTAAGGCCTATACTCAATCCGTGGCTACATTGAATCTTCTCAGAGCATTCGCCACCGGAGGTTATGCTGCCATGCAGAGAGTTAGCCAATGGAATCTTGATTTCACTGATCATAGCGAGCAAGGGGATAGGTATGCTTCTGTTAATGCATTTGAACTGTCTTCTTTCCTCACCTGATGGGTACATATGGATCCCGGAAACTGCTGTGGGAAGGGAAGCAAAATATTTCGGAAGGTTAATTTTATTATGCTTGGTTTTAACTTAGAATTTGAAAAGGAAATTGAAAAGTGAACATATTACTATAAATTTATTTGTTTAGCCAGTTTGGCTTACAATAGACCATCTAATAATGACAACCTAAACCCACAATAACAAGAATGAGATATTACCTGCCTGTTCTGTTTGGTAGCCAAACTGGCTTACTATGCCTTTTTCTGCGTATCTGAAGAATAATAACATTGAACATATTACATGCTTTTTCTGTTTGGTAGCCAAGCTGGCTTACTATGCCTTTTCTGCTTTTCTGTGTATTTGGCTGAAAGGGTTTTACCTAACTTTTTTTCAGGAAGTTCAGCAGATTCTGCCAATGAACTTTACCAAACAGTTATATTGACTTTATTTAGTAGAAATAAATAAATAGAATGAGTTTTAACAAATATTTAAAATAAATTTATCGAGTTAAACGAATCTTTTATTTTCCTCTTTTTTCTCTCCTTCCCAATTTTCCTTCCAATTTTCGTTATTTTTATCAGAGTTCCAAGCCGACCTGTAATGTTTTCATATTTTTTCTTTGGATAAGACAAGTATTTATTTGATCATTGTCAAAAGGTATCGTGAACTTGCACACCGAGTGGATGAAGCAATGGGATTCATGACAGCAGCTGGGCTTACCATTGACCATCCAATAATGACCACAACAGACTTCTGGACATCCCACGAGTGCCTACTCTTGCCTTATGAGCAAGCCCTTACAAGGGAAGATTCTACATCTGGCCTTTATTATGACTGCTCTGCCCACATGCTTTGGGTCGGGGAGCGAACAAGGCAATTGGATGGTGCACATGTAGAGTTCCTGAGAGGAGTTGCTAATCCACTTGGAATTAAGGTATATAATGTATATTAGATGCTGGGGGCTTTCTAGTATGTTGTTGTGAAGGCAGAAAAGTTTTTCCATCTCATAATTATACTGAGTTGGCAAAACTTGTCCCATTGTATGCCCTTTTCGGCAATTTAGACCCACTACTTTCAAAGTGTTGAGACCTCAGGCCTAAACTCACTAGAAATGAAAAATCTGTCAGAAAAGTACAGCTCCAATTGAGGATACGATGTATTGGCGCTATTGTAATTTTTATTATCAAACTATAGAAAGTGCAACTTTCATTTTTATAATGCCAATGTCTATTCTTTTTATATTTTATTATTTAAAATGCATTTTTGTCATTTTAAGTTTAATAAATTTGTTTTGCTACCAAATTATCACCAATTCACCAGATACTCAATTTGAATAGTACCATATTGACAAATACTGTGTATTTGTTATTTTTGGTGGCTTCAGGGCTAAATTCTTGACATTTATAAAGTCATAGGTCTAAGGATGTTTTTAATTGGACTTGAATTTTATGGTCTAGTTCGGTCTGAATTGGTTTGGTAATTGTCTGATCTAGGACTGAAAACAGTCCAAGTCAGAACATCCTAAACTTCCAAAAAGAGTTCTTTTAGAATTTAGCGGCCTGCTTTTCGAATCAAATGGAAAAACAAAGTTCATGTACTTGACACACAAGGTTTTTTGGGGCAGGTGAGTCAGAAATGGATCCCAGTGAGCTGGTAAAGCTTATAGACATTCTGAACCCCAAAAACAAACCCGGGAGAATAACAGTAATAGCCAGAATGGGTGCTGATAACATGAGAGTGAAATTGCCTCATCTGATTAGAGCTGTTCGCAGCGCAGGTCAAATCGTGACTTGGGTCAGTGATCCTATGCATGGCAATACAACTAAAGCTCCTTGTGGACTCAAAACCCGATCATTTGATGCAATCAGGGTATGATACTCATCTCTATGCTTTGTTTACGTATTTGATTTTATTCTTTTGTAGTTTTTATCTCATTTTATAAGAATACAATCTCATAAAAAGCATTTAATAAATTTTCAAATCAACTCAAAAATATTATCTGAAAATAAGGGTAAACGTGTCTTTTTTTTCATTTTGTCCATCCAAAATGATTCATATTCCCCCAAGGTACTACTTTTGAACTTTAGTACGTTACAGCTATTGGGAATCACCAAATCATAACCTCTTGCTATATTTTTTAAACTCTTTTGATTGTTTAACTTAATTTTACATACTAATTAACATGGTGAAAACTAGCTTCTTTTTACCAGACAGGACTTTTAAAAGTGAACATGTTTCCAACCAGTTACAAGTACTACTAAATTCTCGAGCCATACAAGTCCTATTGTTGGAAGTAGAATCCTTGCTACATATGTCGTTGAGCACAAAACTTCGTCTAACAAACTGGCACTTAAAGTTACATGATCTTGGATGGTGTTGCCTGCTTTGTCGATTTTTAATGCTGTCATTGACTCATCTCCATGAATCCATGATGGTTGGTGTGCTTGTTTGATGTAGGCTGAGCTAAGGGCATTCTTTGATGTTCATGATCAAGAAGGGAGCTTTCCGGGGGGAGTGCATCTGGAGATGACAGGCCAGAATGTGACGGAGTGCGTAGGAGGTTCTAGAACAATTACCTATAACGACCTTAGCTCACGCTATCACACACACTGTGATCCCAGACTAAATGCATCTCAGTCTCTTGAGCTTGCCTTTGTCATTGCCGATCGCCTCCGGAAAAGGAGGCTGGGACCCCACTTCAAGCTATGAGATTGAGGGAGGGGATGTGCTATGATCGCTCTGCACCGTGAAGGTTTCTTCAGTTTGAGACAACTTTAACGTTAGGTTTTTAATGTAGAGTTGTGTTGGAAGTGATATATATAGTGCTACCCCCCAATAAATATGTATAATTTACTAAAATGATACTCAAGTTTTTTTTTGAAGGAAAATGATACTCAAGTTTAAAAACTGGAACATGGAGAGTTGAAAGGGGTAAGAAGTAATAGAGGTATCCAACACTGAAACACGACCCCACCCTTGCGAATGTGCTTACAGTTGTGTAAAGCTCACAAAAAGAGTAGAAACTAAGCCATCTTCAACTTAACGGATTCACAAAAACTTCATTTAAATGAGCTCCTTGTATCTCAAACTGTAGAGTACATTTGACTTTAATATGAGTTAAGATGTTTTTATTTGGACTGTGTTCATACCAGATCAGATTAGATTAGACCTAATCAGACTTGTATAGTTATAAATTACACGGAGACAAGACATTTATCATCCCAGATCAAATTAGACCAGAAATTTTCAGTCCAATTAAAAACATTCTTACAAGAAAACAAAGGATATACTTATTCGTTTATACTCGAGTTTTTTTTTACCCGGAGAAACCACACGTGGTGGGGGAGTGTCGGGGAACACTTCCCAATTTTATTAATAAAGTTTGAATACAAGAGAAATAAATGAAATAAACGAAAAGCAAGCCAAAAATAAATGTAAGTACCAAGTACAAAGAGTTTAACAATTGAAATTTTGTGTGGGGATCCCCATTGAAGCGGAGAGAGCCTTGTTGTATTTGTTGTGAAATTTGATCGCCTTTTGCAGATATGGTTGGTATGTTTCGGCCTCCGGGTGCGTTAAATTGTAACGTTTTAGCGCTTCAACCAGCTTATGAGGGGAGTCAAACCTTGTGCCAATCGAGTACATATAGTAGTCTGAGTCATTTTGTGGGTGACATGAGCGGCTTCTTGTGACCATCAGGGGTGAGGTCCACCCCACCTCGTAAAATAATGGAGCTCTAAGACCAGTGTCACGGGTTCGGGCAGGGCTCTTTTGTTTGTTTTTTCGCCTATTCACCTGCGTAAAGTCGTCATTCATCCTTGTTGGCATATTTAGGTATAGTTGTGTTGTCTTCAGATAAGTTATCATCATTGGATGTGCATGGATCAAGTGTAGTATCATACGGTGGATCAGAGTTAATTTCTTCATTTCTGGTTGGAGCTTCACATAAAGTGGGATTAAATTCCGTCATGGTTACCGCCTTTTTACAGGTGGCCACCAGGCCCACTATGGATTTAACCGAGCATTCTGTAACTGGTTCAGCACAATATGAGGAGCCATCCTTAGGGACAGTGGCCACCAAATCAGTAGGAGCCTTAGTATTCGCAAGAGCACCAGAGTCATTAGAATTCTGGGCTTCAATAACCTGGGTCTCATGAGAGGCATCAAAAATCTGCTTGTTAACAGGGACATCAATAGCATTGTCATCACCAGATGCATCCAAAACGGTAACAAACGGGGCACAATTGTGATCATCTAAAATTGCAGAATGATCAATGACATCCCTTTCAATAGGAGCAACAATTTCAATAGCACTAGGGGTACCAATGCTTGAAACGGTTAGATCATCACAAGTAAAACACGGGGCACAAGCATTTGGAGCAGCTATTGTTTCAACAATGGGGGCTGCAGTAGTAAAACTCTGGGGTATATCTTCTATTATTTTTGTACATTGCACAAGTACTCAATGATTAGAAACTTTGGAGTATATCTTATACTATCATATTATTTTGGCATGAAGACAATCACAAGATGCAAATAAAAACACTTAACATCAATACTTAACCTATGAGCTTTATTGAATCTACGCTATTAGGTATGCTATTAGGTATGTTATGTGCCGAAAAAATATGTGCAACGTGCCAACGTGCTCAGTACGGAGTACATTGGTGTGATTAATGCCATGATTCTCGAAATACTTTAGATAAATAGATCCTCACCGTTTATCATACTAATGTGCTCTATGATTAGCACTTTGATGTACTCCATATAGTTACTCAAGTTTTGCGTCTTTTAAAAGTATTCATACTTGACGTATCTGCAATCAACATTTTTATTGGAAATGTTCAAGTGCAGTGACGTAGCTAGGAGAAATGTCAGAGTTCGTCGAATAAAGAAGTCATTCTAACACTCTCCGTTCTTTTTTAATTGAAAAAATTACTCAAATATTACAACCTTAAATTTCTCTAACAAATATATGACTAACAATTAAAATAACAAATGATTTCCCTACAATAACTCCCATGCTTCCATACATGAGTAGTTGTTAGTCATTGTTTTGTAAACTCAAACTTTGTTGCTAATATTGACGTAAAAATCTCTTTTTAATTACAATACTTTCAGTGACGTGTTTGCCAACAAACAACCTTACTCATTAATATATTTAATTGACTATTAGTAAATAATTAAAATTTAAATTGAAAATAAAAAATGAGACATTTTTCAAAAGAAAGAATTTTCACGAATCAATAATAAGAAGCAATCAATATGTACTTAGAAGCTGTTCCGTTCGTCTTAATCTTATTACTTATTCCTTAATCTTATTTTATTCAGATCAGATCAGATCAGATCAGAAACATTCAGATCAGATCAGATCAGATCAGAAAGATTCAGATCAGATCAGATCAGATCAGAAACATTCAGATCAGATCAGAAAGATTCAGATCAGATCAGCAACATTCAGATCATATCAGAAAGATTCAGACCAGATCAGACCAGATCAGAAACATTCAGATCAGATCAGAAACATTCAGATCAGATCAGATCAAAAAATTCAAACATGATTTATCACTTTTATTATTATATTAATTATGATTATTATATTATAGTTATTGTTAATAATATTAATATATTAATATAATAATATTATTAATAATAATATAATAATAATGTTAATAATATAAAATTATTATTATATTATAATAATGTAATGTAATGTAATGTAATGTAATGTAATGTAATGTAATGTAATGTAATGTAATGTAATGTAATGTAATGTAATGTAATGTAATGTAATGTAATGTAATATAATATAATATAATATAATATAATATAATATAATATAATATAATATAATATAATATAATATAATATAATATAATATAATATAATATAATATAATATAATATAATATAATATAATATAATATAATATAATATAATATAATATAATATAATATAATATAATATAATATAATATAATATAATATAATATAATATAATATAATATAATATAATATAATATAATATAATATAATATAATATAATATAATATAATATATTTATAATTATAATTATAATTATGATTTACAATGTAATTATAATTATAATCATCATTATTATTAATATGATTGTTGTTCTTGTTGTTATTTTTGTAATTATTATTACTTCGGAGTAATTATATATTTAAATTAGTAATTATAGATATAATTATGATTATAGAGATAAATATTATAATTATAATTACAAAAAAATAATAATTATAAAGTTAATCATAATTAAAAATATAATTACATTTATAATTGTATCTGTATTTATAATTAGTGTAATTGGTATAATTATTATAATTTTAAATTTAATTTTAATTATTATTTTTTTATAATTATGATTATAATTGTAATTTTATTTAATTCATATTTTTAATTACAATTATAAATCTAATAATTATAATTATAATTACAATTATAGAAATATTCAAATCAGATCAGAAAGATTCAGATCAGAAGAATTCAGATCAGATCAGAAACATTCAGATCAGATCAGAAACATTCAGATCAGATCAGCAACATTCAGATCAGTTCAGCAACGTTCAGATCAGATCAGAAAGATTCAGATCAGATCAGAACTTAAAAACAGATCAGATCAGATCAGAAAAATTCAGATCAGATCAGATCAGATCAGAAAAATTCAGATCAGTTCAGATCAGAACTTAAAAAATTCAGATCAGAAACATTCAGATCAGGTGAACGGAACAGCTTCTTAATTGGATAACAAATACTCCGTAAAATGTACAACTTAGCAGTTGGCAATCATCCGAGAGCAGCAAGGTGCAACTTTATAGATATTAAAACGGTTAGCTACTTATAAAAAGAATCTAGATTTGCTATTAAATCGGGGTGGTGGCGCAGTTGGCTAGCGCGTAGGTCTCATAGCTTCTGAGTTATCCTGAGGTCGAGAGTTCGAGCCTCTCTCACCCCAATTCTTTTTTCAACTTTTATTTTAATTGGCAGTAAGATTGAACCTTCCTGCAATTCTCGAACATGTGATATTACTCCGTATTATTTCTTCTTTTTTCAACTTTTATTTTTGGCATTTTTCACACGCCATTACCTAGTCTTAAGAAAAAAGACACCTCCCCCTTTCAGTATATTAAATTAATAATTCTCAAGGAGAAATTCTCATTTTTAGTTTATGAGTTTTACACACTTCTTTGTTGTTTTTTACGAAGTACTCCCTCCGTCCCTAATAACTTTGCCAAGTTTGACCGGCACGGGGATTAATAAAGTAAAAACTGTGTGGTTGAGGTTTGTGCAGAGGAGAGAGAATTAACTGGAACCACAAATTCTTTACTTAAATGGGAAAGTGGCAAAGTTAATGGGACATCCAAAAAAGGAAAGTTGCAAAGTTATAAGGGACGGAGGGAGTATAACGCTTCTACGAGATGCATAGGGTTTTAAATGATAAAATGAATCGAGTTGGATATTCATCTATTCGATTTAAATTTGATAACTCTTTTTAGGCTGTGGCTGGAAATGCTCTTTTTGTCTCTTTTGTCATTTGCTGAATGTTTTATTATCAATATAAGTCGCTTTGTTCCAAAAAAACTCTTTTTAGGCTGTATTTAACTCGAAACTGTTTAAATCGTAATTTTTTTTGGCAAAAGTACATTCAAGTTGAATTTACTCGAATTACTATCAACTCACTCATGCGATGCACGGGATGTAGTATGCTTATTTTCTAAATGTTACTCTCTATGTCATTCTAAAATTGTCTCATCGTGTCCTTTTAATCCATCTCATTAAAATCGTCTCATACTAAGAGTCTGCTTGGTAATACCAAATCGACTGTGTTGGCTGATTATGCTAAAATTTATGAAATTCTGGTTGAAGTGATGGGATTAGCTGATTTATGAAAAAAATTAAATTTAAATATATTATATTAATAAAATATAGAAAACAATTATATGAAGAAACAACTAAAATGATCTTCTATAGTAAATTCAGTCAGATAAGTAACTTTAACTTTATTTTCTCATATTACGTAGTATTATCTAAATGGTTAGTACCTTTTCA